ACGATGTAATCTTTTTATTCTAAAGAAATTAAGCAAAGTAACTGGTCTGGATTTGCATCCATAAACACACACATGATTAAGCCCACGGCACTGCACCAAGCAAAGAGATTCCAATTACATTTAAGGGTTTAGAACTGCATCAGTGTTAAGAAGACTGGGTAGGGTTGCAGGCTCAGCAGCAGTGATGACACCTCTGCTTCCTACCTCCTCACTCCATATGCAAGTTTAATATATGAACAGTGACATGAACGCTTCACATAGGGGTACTGTTGCTGAAAAGAATTGGGGCTCATAACCATAGGAGGAAAAATGCACCGATTGATATATGTAAATATATATGAAGAATATGCACATAATCAGAAAAATACTATTTGTTACATTTATAATTAGCCACTTGCTTGAGCTCGGGACGAAACTAGGCAAAGTTCCAGATTGTGTTTGCTTAAAAGTTACCTTCCTTGCAGTGAAACTTCTTCCTTGGTCATTCAAGACCAAATCCAAGGAGGGGTGGAGTGCCTGGGATGTGCAAAAGGTTCTATGGCACTGACAACACTTACTAACTTAATTGCAAAGTAAAAATGGCATGGCAGCTCCGAGGATGTGTGTAGACATAGCAATCCATGCCCTTAAGCTGCAAACTTAAATAATTTACTAGGGAATAGCTCCGATTAAACACGGTAGGATTTCCTTCTGAGTTAATCCTCACTCCCTTCCCTCACATACCACCAACAAGCACAACAGTACCAGACAGAAACTTGAGACTGGAAAGCATCACTTTGCTGTTCTTGGTTTCTGTGGGTAGCTGAGGAGGTGAAGAGAACCACTGCCAAAAGTTGTTCCTCATTCTATTTCAAACACTTTTGGTAGTTTCTGGGATTCTGGGACAACTTTTGTTGTTTTATACTTCTTTTTTTTATCCCTTGATATTCAAAACTCTATACCAAATTAAGCTTCTAGAACATCCTCATCATTTTATTTTAAAGTACTGATATGTAAAGCTGGATATCTTTATTAAGACCAACCAAAGTTTCTGATAAAGGAAATACCCAACTGTGGGTTTTGAACTATTATACATAACTGGCATCTTTTTGGTTGCTTACTTTTTAAATTAACAGTGTTATGAATTCCCCAGGTTTTTCTACAGATTCAGATAACAGACATTTCTTCAGGATAGATAAGGCAAGTTGCAGGTCTAAGCAAATTTATTAAGGAATGAGGTTCTAATCTGCACATGCTTACCTGAGAGTAAATTCTATTGCATTCAATCTGTCTTACTTCTGAGTAAACATGTTTAGCACTGCAGAGTAAGGCTTAGGAAAGCCTGGGTATGCACACTCATCCAAAGATCTCTCTGAACCCCCATCTCTTCCTCTACCCAACATAATTTCCTGTACCATCTCAGCCACCTTCTCCAACCTGACAGGTCTCAATGGACATGTCCAGGGCTGGCCCCAAGACATTTTCCTGCCTCAGGCAGTGCAGCAAATTTGCCTGTCTCCACTGTCAAGGTGTATAAGCAGACTCGGAGACAGTCAACTTGTATTGGTTCCTGAGGCAGAAAATCCTACAAGCACCTTGGCCCTTCTGCTGCACTGAAAAATAATAATTCATACATTAAATAATGAATAATTTGCTGCATATTTCATGATGTCACAAAGCAGCTATCTGAGACAGCTGCCTTGAGATCTTAAATATTGTGTGCGCATTCTTGCCTTTAAAGGACTCTGTATTCTAAGAACACTCCTATAGGTGAAAAGGTATGTACATATGGGTACATTTGATTTCAGAAAAAAAATACCTCAGCAAACAGATTTAAGGAATTTCAGGAAGATTAGATGCAACGGAAATCCTTAGGTTTCCTGCAATTTTCTTTCAGCAAGTGCCATTTTCTTCAGCTACATAAAAAGCAACTTCATTCAAAATAACCTTCATTCAGAATAACCAAAATGGACTCTAATCCATGGAAACCACAAGGTACATCTATCTGTTCATCTTTCTCTAGTTACTGCAAACTCTGAATGGTAAGGAGGTCCAGGCATCTACTACATTGCCCATGCAAAAAGCAGGTGTACTCCAGCTAGATGGTTGCAGAACCAAGGAACTCCAGATACTTTCAAGCAAACCAGTAAGCCAAGATATGTATTATTCAGACAAGGTTGCACGCTGATTTTTTTTTTTTGGCAAGTAAACCAACTTCTATTTTTCTCTTGGGGGAAGCATGAGTGTCCTGGACCAGTTTAAAGGAAAGGCATCTCTCATGGTCCAGGGCCAGAACATGGGCAGCAGGAGAGAAGGCAGAGGCACTGGGAACAAGGCAACAGAGCTTGGTGGTGGTGGACAGAGTCTAAAGTCCAAAGCAAGGTTTAATGGCAAGTCCAAGTCATCGTCACAGAACAGACCAGGATCAGAAACCAGCAGTAATACCAGGGCAGAACAAGATCATGAACAAGCCAAGGGCCAAGAACAGGAATTCAAACAAGTGTGGGTACCTTGAAGCAGAATAAATGGACAGGATACACAGCAGGGCAGGATACATGGCAAGGGTCAAGCAAGATGCAGGAAATGAACCTCAGCTAACAGGAAGACCTGCATTGCCAAGGCAACATGGCAAGGCAGGATACAGCAGACACCAAATGCTGCAAGAGTCAAGCAAGGTGCAGGAGCTGAACCACACCAGTGCCAGCAAGACCCATGCTGTTGAGGTGAGACAGCAAAGCAGGATCTGGGTCTGGCAAGATGCACGCACTACAGCAACCAGGAAGCCCTGTGTTGCTGAGGTCGGTTCTGGAGGGAAGAGCTTGCTGAGTTCCAGCTGAGCAATATAAGAGCAAGCTCTTCCCTCAGGGCTCCCACCAGGCACTCATTAGGAAGCTGAGAGCTCCAGCAGGGTGTTGGACCAATCCTGTGAATGCTAAAGGCTTTTCATTCTGAGGATCAGGTGGAGTCTCAGAGCAACCTGGATCCTGTCAGCATCTGGTACTCCATCTACAAGCCCCAGAGCAGCCAACTTGTCAGCTTTCCCTCTTGTCAGGGCCTTGTTGCCTACAAAGACTCAGGCACAAATGCAGCTGTTCAGTAGCAATAGTGAAAAGCACGAGCAGACTGTGGCAGGAAAGGCAGCAGTCTTCTTTCTAGTTTAAAAAGCTGGTGCTTTCACACTACACTCGCTCTTAACCACAAGATCGCATCATAATGACTTTGAGGCTACTGAATTCAGAGGAAAGGAGCAGCTCAGATACTCCAGGACAGAGCTCAGAAGATTAGGGTCCATGTCCAAGCAGCCTATTACTTAATACCACCTATCTCTTCATGCCATCTTTTGGGAATGACCTAGATCTGGATTTCTTGCACTGAGTAGGAGCTGACTTCCTGGCCTACATGACACCATCTAATTCTACAATCCCATTACGCTATAAGCACACAGGAGTCTAGGGACACTGAAGTAGCAGGAAAACACCAGTTTATCAAAACGTATTGTTAGATTTGATCCATATACAAATGATTACCATCTCCCTAGCATCAATCAACCAAAAACATCCTTACAAGTCAGGAACTCTTTATATTGCATCAGAACTATTCAGTTAATTTTTACAATCAACAAAGATAATTAGATGGTTTACTGTTGATAGTATCCAGCACTTTTTGCAAAAGTATTTAGGGTACATTTTAGGTCATTAACATTAATAATCAATCATCTTTGTCCCCCAAATATGTTCCTTCAGTTCCTGCCTTGGTATTATCCAGGGAAAAAATTCAAATCACAGTGCAAACTAGTGAGCACACACGTATGTACATGTGTGTGCACAAACAGACAATGCCTAGGTACCTTACCATCAAATACAGCCCTCAGGACCAAAAAAATCGTGTACCCTGTATTAGAGTGTGCTTAGCTTGCCCAGGATAATGGTGTTTGGAGTTAGGGGAGACAACCTGTTCTGTAACTGTATATTTATACACATAGGGAGGGCACAGGACTGCAATCCTTGTCTGCTATCACCTGAAATACGTATGTATTTTTGCATTTCCTGTTCTTTACCATCAATAGCCACCTTATCAATTGCAATGAGGTAGGGCCCCTTTAAAGTTTCCTCACATAACTCTTCCCCTAACTTTTTAGTGAACTTCTCAATAATAAATTTTAATTCAGTGGGTAGTTTCTAATTATATCCAATCTGTACTAATTGCTCATAAATATTTTGTAGCTATAAGTGATGCTTATTTATGCTATGGGGATAATGCTCAAATCTCTAACTGAATTTTTTCAAAATAAATCAAATCAGATACTGGATATTCCAAATCAGAGAACATTCTCAGAAACAACCAATACCTAAAAATTATGTGTACATACATAACAGAAACAAACTGCTTATATATGAACCATGTACTTGTAGCTGACTTTGGGCAGTATCCAACAATGTCATTATGCAAACTCAAATAATACTACTAGATTACTGCTGAGTCTTCCCATTGTGCAAGTACTCATGAATTACAGTTGTACAAGGGTAATTTGTTAAAAAGTTGCAGAAATGAATTGGTGCAAATGTATCTTTAGCCAGATTTCTCTCTTGTGCATAGTGTGGAATAGAATTTCTGCTAGCAAAACATTATTTGTGCAAAGGAATGACACAGTTGGCTACTACCCTTTGGCATTAATTTCCCTGACACTATCTGCATAAGAGATTACACTTAAATAACACAACACTATACATCTTGTAATATTCCACATACAAATGTCATGCAAAAAGTAAAGAACAAACACCGGGACAGACAGAAGCTCCTCATGTGTATGTCATGCCTCAAAATGTAGGAGAAGAAAAGTTTACCCTGTGATATGGCATTTCACCTACATGCCTCATCACATTTAATAGGGCTTTATTATTTTTTCTTTCTTTCCAAATGCAGAAAAGATTTTTCTTCCAGTTAGGACACAGTGATATAGCAATCATATTTTAGAGCCTTTGATACATATTATTGTAATTGTGCAGACTTTCTAGACTTACCTCCTCTATGGATAGTCAAAGAAGTCTCACTTCCAACTGGACATTCTTTAAGCATATCCACTACTTCTGCATGGCTCAGGTTCTGTACATTCTGCTGGTTGATCTCAACAAGGAGGTCACCTTCACATAAACCAGGGCACCCCTGAATGTCTAGAATCTGCTTCACTCTCTGTCCTGTGGGACTGTCTGCTATAGTGAAGCCAAAGCCCTGGGCCCCTTTCACAATGGTTAAGGTCATGAGTTCAGCTTGCGCGGCCCCAGAAGAAGCCATTGATACATTATCATCATGAACAGGTGGTGGGAATGTGCTATCAAGCTGACTATCTGCTGGAATGGAGTGCAAGGAATGTGGTGGCCGATCTGTTACATCTGGAACAGACTGAGAAGTTCTAGAAATGTATTCCAAATAAGTTTCATAGTTATGTCTTCCATTTACTACTACCGGAGGCCTCTCCATGACTGCAAGTGGTGGCACCATGCTGTTGGCAGGATCTTCAGGATCAAAGGGCAGAGGGTATCCACGACATAGCACCAGGTTGACACTCTGACCAATGGGAACAGACTGGAAGAGTTTGACTACATCTGCGTGAGTATGCCCAAGGACACAAACTTCATTAATATAGACAATGACATCACCTAGAAAGAGAAAAAAAATGACATGAGATAACTTCAACTACTCTCGAATTTTTAAAAAATGAATGAAGATGAGACCTCCAAGAGAACTCTGCAGCTACGGACACAATCAGCTTAAAATAAATACCTGAGTTTGCAGAGCATCTCCCTACAAAAGTAATTTTAGTGTTGCACAGGTGGTATCAAGTCTTGCCTCAAGCTTTGAAATAGTGGCAAATTAAAAATAAATTGCAAAGAAAGACTACTGGGGACAAAGAACTTTATCTGAGGTGTGCATAGAACTACAGTTTTTGTTTTTTCATAGCCCCAAACAATACCGATGTTCTAATTGTTTTCAAATTTCTTAAGCAAACTTATATTGAAAGTGGAAACTCAGTGCAAGCTTTTAGTCATATTTATTTTCAGAAATAATATTTACCTATTGCCAATATCCATGAATATTCCCGAAGTACACAGTATGGGAACATTAACTGCTACCCATACTTCATGCTTCTAAGGATCCACCAAGAAGCACACTTCAATATCTTCCATCTATAACTAAGCCCTATGATACAACTGCATTACTGAAAAACACACGTTAATACAGGCATGAGCAATTTCTGGCCCTCCAGCTGTTTCGGCCTAAAGTTCAGCATTTTCAATACTGAGGGATGATGAGAATTGTAAGCTAAAACACTGAGAGAGCCATGGGTTGTATCTTTGCCTTAAGGACTCACAGTAATAATTTTTAGATTATAATATTAATCTGATGAAGTGAAAAGAAGATTAACAAGGCCAGGACTGATCTACTTCAGGACTGAACTAGAAGAGAAAGCAACAGAACACCCTTTGCTATCTACAGCTTCCACTCCAACACAGCTTCAGTAGTTGATAGCCTATCATGGACAAAGATATAGACTTGGGTGGTAGACTTAATCTAAAGGGGAGAACCCCTAATCTAAAATCCCTGGCAATAAGAACCCACACAGGAGTAGCACAAACAACAGGACCAGGCCCTACATCAACCTCCCAGATGTAAGTTTGGTAACAGTATCTAAGACAACACCATGAGAAGACATATGAGCATCAGCCAAGCATTCTTTTTCCTACTCATCCTCCATCATGATCAATGCTCTCACCTGCCAACATTGCCGTTCTGCATCCTACCAAGTGCAAACAAGTAAAAGAATAAATGCACACAAACTGGATGTTAGATACGGCAACACTCAGATACAAACAGGACAATATTTCAGTTTGCAAGGACAGTGTACAGCTGACCTAAAACTCACAATGTTCAAAGTATGAAATGGTTGAATTACAATTCATCAAGGGATTCCATTCAATCTTCTGAAGCATAAATATGGCATGTGATCTTACAGGTGATTTACATGGCAGTGCTAGGATGATTGTAGGGTTCAGAGGGTCATTCTTTACATTTAAGGAACGTGAGAGCAAGACCATAAGGGCTAGTTCTGATCAGTGCAAATGAACCTGGTGCCCATGCCTTGCAATACACACTTTCAGCATGTATTAAAGAGAGCTCTACAATTCCTTCAGGATTCTCCCTTTGTATAAAATACGTGAATGGCAGAGGTAGCAGGTTATAGAAGTGGGGCACATTAGTAGCAGGGCTGTGACTCCTCCTCATGTATTTCCTGGACACGTGTGTGTGTATGAGGTCATCTGAATCCTCAGGATTATCTGTAGTATTCTTGTTGTGAATGGTAACTGAATTTTCACAGGATGTACTGTTTGTATTGGGTCACCATTTGGCTCCACCATTAATCATTTTTCTTAAATACACCCATAAATATATGCGATTTACCTGACAATAAAGGGTAATACTTCATGCCTTTGCTGAAGGAGACTTTAGTTTACAAAAGCTTGTGTAAAAAAAAAATCATTATGTCTTCAAGACTCCCTTTTACTTGTATATGGGATTTAAAATCACTGAACTTGCCTAGAGACAAGACCCTACACACTTGAATTTTCCATTACATAATAACCAAATCTAACAAATCAGTGCAGTAACTTCACAGAGGAAGGTGAACATCTGAATGGGGCAACCATTAAAAACAACATATAAAAGAAAAATGCCAGAACATGGAACTAAAGGATGGCCCCAAGAGCACATGTCAAAGATGTAATGCTGGATCTGGACTATGGTCAGTGCATCTCCTTCCCACTGAAATCAAGAGATCTGGAGTGCTGTCATGACTAACAAGCCCTACTGATTTCTGTGGGGCATAAGTGCGCTGATTTTACTTTTTATCTAATCCATACTATATACTCGTGTTTTTATTACATAAGAGGTAGCTACAAGCTTCTTCCCACTTATAGTAGGGGAACCTGCTGTAGGGGGCTCTGCGGCCATCATTCATGAGCAGATGAAGAAAAAGGGATTACAAAGGTTAGCTGCCATGTTCTCAGCTCAAGACTTCCCTTCCCAAGAAATTAATCAAGTGGCCTTCAGCAAGATGATGCTCTTCCACACTCAGAATTGCAATCTGCCAGTATTTCTAAAAATGTGGGGATAATAGTTCTGTTGCACCTTATAAAATTGTGCTATTCTTATGAAATTACTGAGATGATGCCTCACCAAATTTCAGCAGCAGATGGGAGGTGGTGCAGGTGTGCTTCTTCAAACAAACCGGTCCTTTGCATGAAGTCAACTAGGATGCCAAACAGTTACAAAGAACCCAGAGCTAGTGAAGTGATGGATGTATTGCTCTGATTTCTAGACTAGTCCCTTTCCTGTACTCATTTCATTCCTATAGTAATCTTCTTTTTTTAATCCACAGAATATTCACCAGTCAATTTTATATTTAAGTGCAAATTTGCAAACATAGTTTCTCTCAAAAGATTCATTCCTAAATGTATTTCATTGCATTTTTGAGCACAGAGTAAGAGGTACCATATCAATTTATAGCTACATCTCACTCCACAATTTAGTCCATAGGACATTTTGTATTAAAACCCACAAATTTCAGATTCTCCAAGCAGCGCTACTCAGCCACAGATAGATAGAAAGCCTCTACAAGTTTCTGTTGGCTTATTTAAAGCCCCTGTCAAGAAAAGGCGAAACTGTGCTCTTTCACAGATGATGGCTGAATCAATTGCCAAAATGTAGCAACCATAATCTCCTAGGATTTCATGTCTATAAAAGCAGCAGCCATCAATTGAGAGACAGCTATACACTTTACACATGAGACTTCACTACCCTGCGATTAACTATAAAACAGATATAATAAACACATTTTTCTCAGCCATCTGTAGAGTTAAATAAACACACTGGTAAAGAAAGGACTTCTGCGAAATCCACAGAAGTATCAGCAGCTTCTCCATGCGCAAAAAATTCATGCCATCAAACTTCGCTCTCCAACATGAATAAAATTAAGGGCTGTCCTACAAAGACTAGCCTGGCCATGCAACCATTCATACCTTCTTTTGAGGCAAAGACCTATATAAATAATTTCACTCCCATGTTTTCAGATATGCAAATGCCTCATAGGAAAACTCACAAAACACTCTCTCCCCTTCCAAAGATTCATGAAATTAATTTTGCAGTTCTCATAATACTGTATAATGGGTGTATTTGTAGATCATTGGATAATTTATTGCACATCAGCAAACATTTAGCAACAACTGAATCCCCCTTTTCCTTCTAAGTTAGAAGCTCTGATCAGTAATATACAGTAATATGATCAATAATATTCCCAGCGTCCTTAGCCAGACATTCAATAATACCTTCGCCTATTTTCCTGTGGTTCCTGTTATGCGAGGTACCCAGATTGTCAACAGTCAGCTCATGGCTACCCGTGCCTATTGTAAGGTATAGCGGACCATAGAGATTTCAAAACCTCCAGTCCAACAAGTAAGACCAGGTCAGCCCTCGATGGTACTTGGTTAGTTCACTTTGTGCATACCACTGTGCGTGCAGCGCAACTGTGCTGTGCTAGAGACATCTGTGCAGAGCAGCATGGTCTACTTCTGTGAACACAGTGTTTCTTCATTCTGAAATCTTGTGATATACTGTCCATATCTCAATAGGTATCAAAATAATTTAAAAAATCCAACCAGGTTTGCAGGTTTCATTCTGTGCACTTGCATTTAAATTTGCACTCAGCCGTGAAGCTCCCTGAGTGTTCCTGAACCAATCACTATCTCTGATTCTAACAAATCTCACAGGGTTGCTGGGAAGTTAAAATGAGAGGTGATCCAAAGAAAACATTTTAAAATGTTAAGCTGCAAAATGTGGACTATTGCAAGTCTGACATTTATGCAAGCAAAATGCAGTAGACAAGCTGGATACAACCGTGGGCTGCATCCGTAGGTCTAGATACAGCTAACGTGTGTTTAAGGCCGCTATACACCAAGGGTAAGCTCCAGTGAGTCTAGGGATGTCCTAACGTGTGATTTGGCCAAGCAGAAAGGGCTGCTTGCAAAGATAATCACGGGCCAACTGCACTGAGGTAATTCACACTCAATGTAGGTTGGGGCAAAGAGCTTGGCAGCTCTTGTGGGCTAAATGGAAAGGGACCCATTCGGAAGCAGCAGATAAGAGAAAAATATCCAAAGGAAGTGTAGAAAACTTGGAATTCACATTTAATGTGAGCGTTGATAGTTGCACTCAGATTGTCTTAAAATATATATTGCTATATGTATAGTGTTATAATAGCATATAGAGTGAAACATAGAAGTGAGAATTATCTACTGTACTGTAATATGTGTGCTTATTTTTGTTTTTTAGAATCTATGTCTTTCTGCCATTTCAACAGGAAGAGTCCTACAATTCCCAGTGTTCCTCAGCCAGCCGTTCAGTAATACCTTTGGATATTTTCCTGTAGTAACTGTTATGAAATTAAGAGGTACCCAGATTGCCAGTGTGACAGAAGATGGTTCAAATAATTAAAATAGTAAGTGGGAAAATCTGTGCATATGTTTGCCAGGGGAAGATTTCCAACTCACCCCAATTCTCCCAAAGAAGGCATATCTCATCTACATGTGGGCTGGGACAAGATACA